CTTACATCTTCGCACGAGAAGAATGAATCGTTAGTTTCGAATAGACCACTTTCCTACCTACCCAATACAATGCGACAGGTCTTTGTAAACTCTCCACTGCGTATGCTGTGACAAAAGCGAAATGGCTGAAATGAAAGAGAATTTGAAATAACATGGCACTTGATCCTGCAGCAGTGTGGACGAGTACGAAACGTTATGTGGTAACCCCACTGTGCAGAGGTAAGTTAGAATGCGTGTGGATCGAAGCATAGTAATCTGATTGGGAGTAGCAGTGACTGGGATATCATTGATACCATTAAGCATGAAATAGCAAGATTGCTCACAAGATGGTCTTTATGGAGTCATCAACATTGTAGTCGGTAGGTCACGAAGAAATATGATATTATGTCGTATGCACAGGACAGAAGACAAGCCACCTGAGGTGCTTGTGACACGTGATGTGTGCGATGGAGCAGAAGGAGATGTGAGGTGGTGGTAGCAGTCGGAGCTTTTATACCGAACTAGTAGTGGTTGACTTTTCGTCAAAAGTTGATCAGTATCTTTCAGATTTCTGCTACTGCTGCTTACGACCGCTGTTGACCTCAGCTGCGACGTCTGGAAGGATGATCTCGGCAAACGCGAATGCATGTTTATGCAAATTATTGGTGCAAAAGCATGCGTCCAAGCAGCAGACATGAGAGTATTATAGGCATCATGGTCTTGTAAACTATCTCCATGAAGTTTGTTTCATTATCTGCTTAAAATTGGCTAATGACATTAACGTGGTGCTCGTCGAAGCTTATCAAACACCATCTGCCATCGTTTGTATTCATGCAGAGCCATTCCTCTCAGTTTTAACTAACACTCATGCAGATTCTATTGCCTCCAATTCATGGTGCAGACCCCTGTACCTCACTCAGCTCTCTTCCCCGTATCCATCATCCATATCTGTGAGTGTTGGCAGTGTGCATTCTGATTTCGGATTATGTGGCATCTCTATCCACCTACCGATGTGCCTGGTTCTTTGTCTGTGTGTCATTTTGACCTCTGGCAATCCCCCTGATATATCTTGTAGTTTGAGGGAGTATCCATCTGATCTCTGGCTTTCATCTGTCTCCACTTCTATCACCACACCTCTCTCCTACTTCTTGTTCACACAACCATCTTTCCACCCACTTAACCACCTTATTACCAGCATGAGCAGAGTTGTTGTAGCCATTAGGACTTGTGCAAATGTTGCCAAAACTGTGGAGTGGCTGACGTTTGATCTGTTGATTCGTGTTGCCT